CACACACACACACACACACACACACACACACACACTTAACAAAGAGACTCCACTCCCTTCAGAAACTGTGGATGAGCTCTTCATCATTTCTGAGATGTTTTTCAGTACATCTCTGGTTCTGTTTGTTGGCTCGGTTCATCCTCCGGTGTTTTTATCTAAAAATGACAGATTAGAGGAGCACCGGCCTTTCAGTAGCTGCTTCCTTGGTCAAGAGGTTTTCAAACCGGGGTGGACTCATTTTTTACTGAGGGCCACAGGAGTGAGCATCATGGTGGCCCTCAAAGGGCCAGTTGTGATTAACTTTGACGTTTTGTTTTTAACTTCAACTAAACATGAAACGTCACATTCCTCAAGCACCCTAACAAACGCAAACTGAGCTCTACCTGGTATTTCCTGCATAGAAACAGCATTTTAACACATCCTCTTATAAACACTGAAAAATACTTTGAGTACAACTGACTAAATGTGAAATAAATAAGACAGAAATACTATTAAAAGTAAACGTAAGAGTTTTACTCACTACTGAGTGAGTAGTGAGTAGCTGCCATCTTGAACTTTGAACTCTCCTACTTTCCAACAGGTAATTCCCAGTGGAATTTACGACTTATAAGTGAGAAATTCCCACTTCCCAGTACAACTGGGCTGCAGAAAAGTCGCTGTAAAAATGCAGTGAAATTGAGATTTTACATGGCAAATCTTGCTCGCTACCAGCTACTTTTGAACTAATAATAATAAAATAATCAACATGCATCATGGGAGTTGTAGTTTGTGGTCAGTGCTGGCTTTAAAGCAGCACATTCTTTTTTTTTAAGACATAAATACATCTTTGAAGCTCTCAGTCCATAATATGGAGCCCGCCAAGGGACAGTGGTGAAAAAAAAAACAGCTGCTGGAAATCCGTGCGCACAGATTACTAAACCGTGCGCACAGATTATTAAACCGTGAGCAGAGATTACTAAACCGTGCACACGGATTACTAAACCGTGTACACAGATTACTAAACCGTGCGCACGGATTACTAAACTGAGCGCACCATATAAAACGCCGTGGTGGCTCTGTCAGTTGGTTCTGATCTAAGTAGTGATCCTTCTGTTCTTCACAAACTAAGCTCACTGCTGTGACCTCGGTCAAATAAAACACCAGATTTCAGGTAAAACTCTACATTCTGTGTCAGTTCTCACAGTAAATTCTAAATCTAAAAAAAATGACTCCTGGTTCTGATGAAACATGCAGGAGGAACCAGCCTCCAAAATAAAATCACCTCAAAAGCCAGTTTCAGAATAAAAGCAGAGACTTGGGCTTTGATTTGTGTTTGATTTGCAGTTTTCTGCAGATACCTAAAGGGCCAGATGTGGCCCCCAGGCTGAGGTGTCCATGTTTACTGTAAGCATGTGTAGGACCTGATCCAGGAAGGAAGTTCCTCCTCTTTTTATGATGAAGAGGAAACTGAAGCTTCACTTGTTGATCAGAAATATAGAAAGTTCTTTAAGTTTCTTCTTAATTAGCTTGATTAACTAAGCGTCGTAGTGACATCCTGTCCCACAGAGCTCTCTGTTCTGCAGACGTCTGTGATTAATCCTTCCTGTTCCTCCTCAGATGAAGGCTGCCTCAGATGAAGATGATGATGACGATTTTGATGAAGTTCCAGAGAAAGAAGGTTATGAGCCGCACATTCCTGAGCACCTCCGAGCCGAGTACGGTCAGTTTACCTACACAAACACACGGCCCTGATCTGCAGACACGTGTCTAAACAGTCCAACACACACACACACACACATACACACACAC